GGAGAGAGGGGGTGGAGTGGGTGGTAAGGGAGGGGGTGGGGGCAGGGGGGAGAAATAACCCAAGCATTGTATGCACATATGAATAATAAAACAATAAAAATAAAAAAAAACTACCAGTGGTACAGTGGTCCTGCTGTATCACTCCTGGGCATTCAGTTTCTCCTGTGTTACCCGACCCTTCTCACAGAGTGAGAAGCTGTTCCTAATCTGCCATCTTGCTCACTGGGATTTTTCTTCTTTTAAAATCATACTGATAGCTTAACCTACTGGTATTTGTGGAGATGTTACATTTTCCCATTCGTTTCAATGAGTTACAGTTACATTATACAGAATATTTACATTTGCAGGTGTATAAAAATGCTCTGCTTTTCTGTTCTTAAATTTTGAACGTCTTCAGGCAGTAGGACAGACAGATTTTATTTCTGCTGGTATTCAAATACCATATGTTAGTTTTTTTACTCTGGGTACAATAAAATTCAGTTATTGGCCACACAGTTAAAGATTGCTGGTGAGTGATATGATTTGTTGATATTTGGGGAGATAGCATTTACAAATGATAGAAGTTCCCTGTTGATATTTTCCTAAGATGAAATTCTATCAAGAGGTGTGAAGTATTCTATCAGAAAGTGCAGAAGAGTCTATTAAGAAGTGAGAGCTCTTCCATTAATAAGTGAGAAATTTTCAGAGACTTGGGAATGTAAGCGACATCAAATAGGACCGTTAAGCTTATTTCAGAATAATTTATCCAGTGACTCTGGCCTTAGTAAACTAATATTAAGCATACTTACAGGGACAGGAAGCAGGACCCTGGTGAGAAGTAGAGGACAGTTCTTACACAAAGTCAGCTAAGGAGTGGAGTTGATTACCCTTCTACTGTGACAAAAGTGGTTAACAAAATACTGACAGACCTTTTAAAAAATAACCCTCTGTTCCAGGAAATGATCGTTCAACAACAACCTGATTTTTATTATGGAATTTCTGTATATGCTTGGAAATTTTGCCTCCCATCCTCCCATCTTTCCCCTCCCAGTAAGCAGTGATAACAACCTGATAGGTACCCTCCTACCTTCCTTATTTGAGGTTATAGAATTCACATATGAGGTATATAATTCACATTATTTGTCGATGAACTAGAAACATAGTTTGTTTTTTGCTGGATAATACTCTAAGGCAGGTGGTGATCACTGAACTATAGTCAATGGATCAAATCTGTCCTGCCACCGATTTTGTGATAAGGTTTTATTGGAATATAGCCTCACCCATTTTTCTTTTGGGCCTTTTAAACGTTTAAATTCTTTATCTGCTGTATGTGACATGCTTTTTCCAAAACCCCTTGCTTGTCTGTTGCCATGTTTTGTCATAAAAAAGTATGTGTGTTTGTTTTTAAATGCGACAAAGTGGTGCTTGTCTACTTTTCCTCCTGCTAGCCTCGAACTGCGGTCCTCCTGAGTTTAGCCTCCCAGGTAGCTAGGATTATAGGCATGAGCCACCAGCCATCAGTGCCTGGCTAGGTGTCCTGTTTTTATTTAGAGATTGCCTAAGCTCCAGGGTTATCTTGTATTTTCCTGAAAGTTCTTCTTAGATTTTTATTACCTACTTCTTCTATAGGTCTCAAATGCATTTTTATACATGCATTCAGTGGTTTAGATGCAGAGTCTGGTGTGTTGCTACCTAGGTGGTCTTTGACCTCGTCACTTAAAATTTCTTTGCTTCAGTTTTCTTCTCTAAAAGAGGGAAGATACTAGGACTCATCTATCTCATAGGGCAGTGGTGACACTTAGCAGAGTGGTTTATATCTAGGAAATGTCCAGAACAGAAGTGCTCTACCATTATTGTGTGCTGTGGATAGGCATCTCATTTTTCTCTCATAAGTAACCACTTGTCTTGGTAACATTCATCGAGTAGTGCATTCTTTTCCCACTTGTTTTAAAATGTTGGACAAGGGCATAGCTCAAGCACAGTTGCCTAGTAAGCACGAGGCCCTGGGTTCAGTCACTAGCACTGCGAAAAAAATATCGTCTTTTACATAGCATGCATTCAGGTATCTAAGCCTCTGTTTTTAGGCTGTGCACTATGTTTTATGACTCTGTCTACTGCTCCTAAGCCATCGTGGCTTTATTACCATCTTTATAAGGTGCTAATAACTTACGAGTGGAGTCCCTTGTTCTATGAAGTTATTTTGACTCTTCTTAGCTTTCTTTTACTTTTCCATGTAATTTTTTTTTAAAAAGCATCAGAATTTTAAAAAAATACCGTTACTAACTTTTAGTATGGAAAATAGTGATACTTGGTAGTATTAGAATGAATCGGTACTCACACTAATACCCACCAGTGGAAGTTTTCAGAAATTCTGTGTTACGTGATCTAGTGGTTGATATTATTCACTGTACTAGCAGTGGATACTGCATTGTATACTGGCAATGTGGTTGGTAAGAAAATTGCAGACAGGGCTCCAGCTCTCTTGCTGGGGACCCCCTCACAGGACCACTTCTCCACAATAAACTCTGTGCTGGGCTTGAGCTGTCTCCCTGTCTATCCATTCTGCACCTCTTTCATTTCTATCAGATTGTTAATTATATGAGTTTCCTTGAATATTCTAGTTCTTAATACTTTATTAGAAGAGTTGTAAATATTTTGTATTTATTGGTTGCTTGTCTTTTAACTTTGTGGTATTTTTAGCAATAAATCTGACTTTTTTTTTCTTTTATGAAGAAAAGAAAACTGCAGACAGATAGATCTTTAGCCTGTAGTTTATGACAGTGCCCCGAGGTGCAACCTAAGGCACCTCAGAAAACTCCCCAGGTACTTCAGACATTGCAGGAAAGCAGAGCAACATGAGTCCACACTGTGGACTTGCAGCTTGGGGTAGTTTGCACGCATGGCTGTGTGTTACCTCATTTGATTGGGTGCTGTGATAGAAAGTCAGGCTGAGGAGTTGTGTAATGAATGCCCAGTAAGCACTCACATTCCATAGTAACCAACTGTGGTTGTTTGAAAATGAAATGAAAATTTTCAGTTTGTGTGTAGTATTTTTTCAAAAAGTTATTAACTAGTTAGGACATAAATACTTAAGATTAAATAATCACTACTTTTGGCCTTGAGAATTTGTGGGAAAAAATTAAGAAAATAGGCATCAGACACTAAGAAAGTTTGGGAAGCTGTTTGCCTCAACAGAGGGTGTAACAAATGTTTAAGACCAAAACAGTTGAAGTGCTTGTAGCTGGAGGCGTGTCATACTTGTTTTGCAAAGGGGCAGGTAGCACTTCGGAGACAGTGGTGTTTATGCTGAGCTCCACTGGTGTGGGGCTTGGGTATGGATTTTTAAAATGAAGTAAAATAAAAAAACAATGTGAAGCTATAAAACATTTAAATTCATACAATTTTTTGGTATTTTTTTAAATGGCAAATTTTTTGTCTTAATGTTTAAAAAATTATGTGTTTTATTAGTATTTGTCATAAAATATTTTAAGTAATTTATTCTAGCACATTGATTTCTTTTAAGTTGCTGTGTGAAATTCAGTTGGTATAATAAACAATTGTATAGGAAAGGTAGAAAGAAGCTAGTTTAACTATCATTTCATACTTCTCTTTTGTTTGTATTTTGATTTAATTTTACTATAACTCCATTAAATTAACAAAGGATTTTAATACTAATAAGAAATAAAATCACTGCAGGTTACTTTTGAAAAATTCCTAAACTAATTTTCAAGAGTTTTAAGACTTAAGCTGGGCATGGTGATACATGCCTGTAATCCTAGCTATTTGGGAGGCAGAGAAAAGGATTACAAGTTTGAGACCAGCCTCAGACCAAGGTTGCAAGCCCTTACCTTGAAAACGAAAGGGCTAGAATCTTGGCTCAAGTGGTAGAACCCTTCCCTGGCATGTGCTAGGCCCTGGGTTCAATCCCCAGTACTGCAAGAGTGTTAAGACTTGACAGATGCATTTCATAGTTAACCAAACAGAGATGTGGACTGGAATCTCTGCTCTAACACTCCTTGTGATGTTGGGAGAGGGTTACTTGGTGTGACTGGAATGGAATTTGCTTATTGTTTTAAGTACTTAGGAAGCTTTTTAACAATTGAGTTATGACTCCTTCCTTCTGCCAGCATGTTTTGTATTTATTAAGAACTGATCAATCATTTAAAAATATTTAGAAATATCATCATCCTAAGATTTGTAACGCAAATAAATTATACAGAGGTGTATGTGACCCGAGCTTCCCTGATGAAGAAGCCCAGTTACAGCTCGGACTGCATAGCTGTGAGCTGCTCAGCATCTTTCTTGAGGAGAACAGGTGAAGCTTTGAGTTAGAAAGCTTTTCCTAGCTGAGATACTGTTTATAGCGAATGTTTTCCTTAAAGTTTTTCCAGTAAAATAATGGTTAAAATGTATATATAGTGAATTCATAAAAGGTATACGGATAGCCAGTAAACATTAAAGGATTCCTTATTAACAAAGAATCATTTTAATTTCCTGCCTACTTTGTGTTCTATAGAAAATTTCAATTTGGTATAAAACTAGAATAACAAAGCATGTTTAAATTGTTTTAAAAGAGGGGAGAAGGGATAAAAAAGAGTAATACAGGGGATGAATTTGGTCAAAGCACATATGCACGTATGGAAATAACATAATGAAACTTCTTTAATATATGCTAATAAAAAAGGGGAAAGAAAGAAAATTCCACTTTGAGTATAGTAATTTTAAATACTTGTAAATCCCATTGTTGGATTTTAAATAAAATTTATTAGCTATTCAAGATCTAACTGGCTTATCTCAGGTAGAGGTTTTGTTTAGTTTGAGTTTTGGATTTCCAAATGAGTCAGATTTTGATTTCCTAGGAAGAAGTAAATTTTATTTATACGACATTCACAGTAAGATGATAATATTTCTGCATCATACTCAAAGAACAGAACCACTTAAGAGGAATTCTTTATGGATTTGTTACAGAAGCAACAGGGGATAGTTCTGCTTATCTTTGTTCTTTTCCTTTGTCTCCGCAGGAGCCAGCTTTCGAACATTCACTCCATTTTATTTTCTGGTGGAGCCGATGGACACACTCTCGATTCGAGGCTCCTCTGTTACGTTAAATTGCTCAGCATATTCTGAGCCTTCTCCAAAAATTGAATGGAAAAAAGATGGGACTTTTTTAAACTTAGTATCAGATGATCGACGCCAGCTTCTCGCAGATGGGTCTTTGTTTATCAGCAGTGTGCTGCATTCCAAACACAACAAGCCTGATGAGGGTTACTATCAGTGTGTGGCCACCGTTGACAGTCTTGGAACTATTGTCAGCAGAACAGCCAAGCTCACAGTAGCAGGTAAGTTTTCTTAAGGGATTGACTTGAGTTTTCAAGTTTTTTATAAACAATAAATCTAGACTGGATGTGGTGGCTTACATCTGTAATTTTAGCTACTTGGGAGATTTTGATCAGGAAGATCGAGGTTTGAGGTCAGCCTGGACAAAAAGTTAGTAATACCCTCCATCTTAACTAACAAGCCAGGTGTGGTGGGGGCATAACTGTAATCCCAGCTACACAGGGAGGCATAGGTAGGAAGATCATGGTCTGGAATCAGCCTGGGCAAAAAGTAAGACCCTATCTAAAAAATAAATAAAGACAAAAGGGCTTTAAGTACGATTCATTGGTAGAGCACCTGCCTAGCAAGCCAAAGGCCCTCAGTACCACCAAAAATAGATAAATAAATAGATAGTAAATCTAAATAAAAGCAGTATTAGCAGTAGTACCCTATAATTTTCACTTAATGGGTCAAAAAATCATTTCACATTATCAGTGGTGCATATACTTTGTAAGGGACTACACTGGGCTGCTCAGTGCTGTACAGAATAAATCTGCACTTTCTACTTGTCCAGTGGCTTTAAGTTGGAATCAAAGGTCCTGAGCTGTTCTTCCTTTCTTTTTAACTTGGAAATGGCAGAGGAAGTTACATAGGAAAATCGAGTCATTTTGACAGCTTTTATTCTACACAGCATAACCACTTAGTCTGGGTTTGTGAAACTTCCGGGAAAGCCAGAATCCTATTTCCATAATGCCTTCACCGAGGAATGGATAATTAAGTAGATCAGTTATTTTAAAAAATCTGTAGACTATCTATCTATCAATCTATCTAATATATCTGTATAACTAAATCTTAAGGCAGGGAGCAGAAAGTTGCAAAGAGGGCACTGTTTGCTCCATTTCTGAATATCTTCATTATAGTAACGACAGCAAGTGTATGAGAAATGAAGGGTCTGGAGGAATAAGATGTGGTTCCTAAATAGGTCAAACCTGTTGTGTGGTAGACACCACCATTTCTCAGATAGTGTTTCTTGACTACCAGATGAAGTAGTTTTTGCAAAGGACATTTTCTTTAAGTTCTGTGTTTATTTTCACCTTGGAGAGAGACTAGCATGTGACAGTGGAATGTGAGACAGCCTCCCATCTCTTCCCCACTTCAGCTTAGGGCTTCTGATGGGCTCTCTCCAGAGTGCATTTCCTTAGTTTCAGAGAATGATGGGTCTTTTTGTCTTTGACTTGAGTATTTGGCTCAAATACTCAAAGATGAATTTGGGTATGACATGAAACCATTGTAATTATTCTACAATCACAGATCAAAGGTAGAAAAATAAAAGGAAAAAAAAACCCTGGCTCTTCTGGCAAATTTCCTTTTCTCTCCTCACTCTAATCCATTTGTTATACTTTCTGCAATGCATGTAATAAATAAATTGGTATAATGACTTCTTCTACAATGTCATTTAGGCGAGGCTTCTGTTTATCATTTATGTTATTAATTATCTCTTACCTGAGCTTTTATTCATAACTGCTTCCTCTCAGCTGTCTACTATATCCTATCACCAGATCCAGTGAGTCCTGCCTCCTGACTTCTGTGTTGACCCACTTTTCCTTCCTGCTGTGCCTCCTCAGCTTCCCTTCTCACAGCCTGTACCTGCTGTGTGTACCTTAATCTTCCTTTCCTCTGTGTGGTATGCACACTGAGGTCAGCACTGTCTCACCCTGTGGTGGCTCACCGGTGCTCCAGTCACACTGTCCAGTTAACATCTTGGCTCTTGAACAACAGGCCTCTTGGTTCTTTTATGAGCTGGCACCTACTTCTTCAGCTCCATTTCTTTTTTTCACTCTCCTGCCCCTTCACCTCCTTACCCCCTCACCCCCTCACCCCCTCACCATGGTCTTAGCACTTGCAGTACTGAGTGTGGCACTCCCTTTCATTCCTTCCATTTGTTCTCTGCCTTCTGGCCATGCTCCTGGCCTCCCCACTTAGGATTAATTCTGTTTTCCATCTTCTCTCTTCTCCACTAGGTTTGTCCTTCCTTCCTCTGAGCCTTCAAGTTCTTCAGGAAGCATTTTTTTTTTGACCAAGTATTTTAATAAGCAGGCAGCTTTAATACAAGACATTACATTCTGTGATAACTGCAGGCAAGGTTCTTCGCATGGGCGGCAAGGGAAGAACAGAAGTGCTTTGTAGTAGTTGCATGGTACAACATTGTATTCAGATGCTTGTGATTTAGAGTCCCTTTTTGGTTTTTTTATGATTGAATCTTGCTGTTTTTAACCTAGACTGACCTAGTACTCAGGATCCACCTGCCTCATATCCCAAGTGCTGGGATTGCAGGCGTGCTCCAACATGCCTGACCCTTAAAGTCCATTTTTGATGAATAATAACTTGGATTAAAATTGTTGGATGTTATAGGCAATACTATAGTAAACTACTTTCTGTACATTTTTATTTCTGTAGAATAGGTGGCTAGAATTGGGATTGCTGGATTATAGGGTACCCTTTTGTGTATGTGTAATATAAAAAGATACTAGTTCATTATTTTCTCAAAATTTTAACCCTAGAGTTACCATATGACCCCATAGTGTTATCAACTCAAGAGAAATGAGAAGACATGTCCACAGTTTGCATATGATCATTCATAATGGCATTACTCATAGTAGCCAAAAGTAGACATATTATCATGTCCATCAAGTGATGACTGGATAATCAAAGTGTGGTATATTTATACCATAGGGTATTCTTGAGCAACAAAAAGCAAAATCCTAATACATACGGCAGCTAGATGAATTGTAAAAATATGCTAAGTTAAAGAAGCCAGCCATAAATGATCACACTGCCTGAGCTCATTTGTACGAAGTATCCAGAGTTGAGATTGAAGGTAGATTAAGTGGTTTCCTAGCGTCAAAAGACTTGGGACTAGGGGAGTCAGGAGCGGGTGTACAGAGAATGGGGAAGTCACTAAAAGTGAGTAGAAAGTTTCTTTTGGCAGTGACACAAAGGTTCTGAAATTAGGTTATGTAGATGGTTGCACAACTCTGTTCATACAGAAAAAAACATACAGACTTCTGTTAAGATGTTTTTGATTGCAGACAGTAAAAACTGATTCCAGCAAAGTCCAGCAAGCAGGGAAATTTTTGAAGAAACATTAAGTAGCTAGTTCACAGAATTATATATGAGGCTGCTCTTTCTCTGGACGGTCTCATTTCTCCCACAATGAAAGTTTCTGCTTTCTTGCCTGGAGAACAGCTGGTTTTGTGTTTTGTGCCCAAATGAGGGGGAACAGGGTGGTCTAAGTACAGTGTTGCTAACCCCTTCTTGCCATTTCCATGTCTCCTCCCCTTACTCTCTTGCAACTCTGCAGAGGCAGCAGGACCACCAGCTTCCCTTGGAGCACAGGAAGCCTAAGCCTTCTCTGCCTTCTCAGTATGTCAGCTCCTAGTTCCTCCTGCTGCTTTCGATAGTCAGAAACTTTCTAAAATCTCTTGCCTGCCAATTCTCCAGATGTTGTTGTGCATTTTTAGGAGGGAGTGTTTTTTAATTAAAAAATAGAATCAGTTACTGGTTTTAAGATTTTTTTCCCCCACATTTATTAGATTCTGCATTTGTCTTAATCCCCTTTTCCTGATTTTCTGGTTTCTTACAAATAGATATTTGGACAATTTAATTTATTTATTTGCTTCAAAAAGCACCTTGAAATTTAAAAAAATGAGGAAAAATGTGTAGCAAGCTAATAAACCTATGTGTTATTTGTATTTGGACTAATTCACTATAATTTGTTTCCTAGTCTTAAAACAAATACTGTATTCTGAGCATAGCAGTCACTTTTTAGATGTTGTTAATAAGTTAGCTGGTTGTGTATACACCAGTTCATGTTTAGCAATACTAAAAAAGAATTACTTATGTTAAATATTTATTTTAACAACCTATGGGCTCATTACTGCACTCCTTTAACTGATGAAGAAACTGACACTGGAGAGAAAGTTAAATACCCTGCCAATCTCATGCTGCCACAAATGGTACACTTGCGTTCAGATTAAGCCCCTGGACTCCAAACTGATGCTTGGTGGAAGCTACCACACCACAGTTCAGGACCACGGTTTTGGTTACAGTTTTATTTTGAAGTAATTTTAAACTTAGAGAATAGTTGCAGGGGTAGAGCCAAGAAATCTCACATATCATCACCCAGATTGTGCAGTTGTTAATACTGCATCTGCTTTGTCATTCCTCAAGTACGTATTTTTTCTGAATCATCAAAGGTAGCAAGTTGCAGGCATATTGCTCTATTACCCCTGCCTAAATTTGGCAGTGTGGCATTTCTGAAAACAAGGACTTTCCCTTAAGTACCACAGGCATTTGTCAAAGTCAGGAAATGAATCCTGATACAATAGTGCCATTCACTTAACATTTCATGGGTTGTCTCAAAAATGTTTTTTTAATAGCAAACAAAACCAGAAACTTTGCCTGTCTTCCCCTTTTCCTTTTGGTCTAGACTCACATGTATCATTTAATAGTTACAGCTCTTAAGCTCATCTGATATGCAGAGTATCCTCGGTTTTCCCCTTCTAGTCCTGTTGGGAGCTTCATTGACCCTGTGATTGGATAGATGAAGGTTTTGCATTTTGGGGAAGAGCATCACAGAAGCCATCAGTGCTCTTCTAGTGCCACATGCTGGGAAGCAGGGATGCTCGTTTTGCTGCTGGTGATAGACCACCTTTTATTACTTAAGATGGTCTTTGCATATTTCATCACTGTAAAATTAGGTATTTAGACTTTTGTTAATTAATAAATATTTTAGAAAGAAATACGTTGATACTTTGTACATACACTGTTTCTCATCAAATCATCACCTAGTTTTAACATCCATTGAAGATCTTGCCTGAATCAGTTATTTCTACAGTGGTTACCAAATGGTTATTTTTCCTTGTTCCATCATTTCTGTATGATAGGTCTTTCCCATCTCCACTTCAGGCATTCTTTGTTAATATTGCCATGAACTAACAGATTCTTGTACAGTGGGTTATAATGCATTAATCCCATAACCCAGATTTATCCAGAAGCAATTCCCTTCACTCTGGATTTCCATGTCTTTTTTGAAATGTGTGCATTGTTCTTTGAATAGTTACTTTATGTCATAAGATAGAAATTGATCTTATCACATAAAGTAAGGAGCCTAGTTCATTTTGTACTTTCCTTATCCCGTTCCTAGAACCAGCCATTATTCCAAATAGTAAAGGTTCCTTATATGAAGAATGACATTTAGAAATCAAGATAATATGGACTTGTTGCTGCTGGAGTGACATTGATTCTGGGCCCTCTGTGTGGATGGGGCTAGGGAACATATAGGTAGGTGTGTATGAACAGGAATAATAATGTATATAAACCAGTGCTTACAAAAGGTATACACATTTCATACATGTTACATTTATATATTTTTAAGTTATATAAACCTATAGATTATACTATTTAAGATCACACTGATCCCTTCATCCTAGACCAGTACTATAGTGTTGATTCCTATCTTTTTCAGTATTTGTTCCTTGCTTTTCCAACTGTGAGGAATCTAACTCCAGTTATCCTTAATATACTTATTTATTTGTTCTCTATTCCTGTATATAGCCAATTTCCTGATACATGAACCTTCTTTGTGACTCTGATTCTAATATATGTTGTAGCCACATAGATTGGCTTGCCGCTGGCCCCCAAGACTACATTTTAAGTAATATTTAATGACTTTCTATTCTTTTCCTTTATTGTCCAGGTCTTCCAAGGTTTACAAGTCAGCCAGAACCTTCCTCAGTGTATGCTGGAAACAATGCCATTCTGAATTGTGAAGTTAATGCAGATTTGGTCCCATTTGTGAGGTGGGAGCAGAACAAACAGCCCCTTCTTCTGGATGACAGAGTTGTCAAACTTCCAAGTGGGACGCTGGTTATCAGCAACGTGACTGAAGGAGATGGGGGACTCTATCGCTGCATAGTTGAAAGTGGTGGGCCACCAAAGTATAGTGATGAAGCGGAATTGAAAGTTCTTTCAGGTATAAATTCATGGTCAGGACTGATGGTTTTCTGTTTATTAATGGGTAAAAATTGTTACAATTTTTAAAATAAACACTGTTAATATGTGGTATGATTTATTACTGATGGCATAATTAGACTTGGTTTTTTTAAAGGGGTAAAAAGAAAATATGCTGTAACAATCTAGTCTTTAGTGAATGTATTATTCAAAATTGGTCAAGTAATAAAGTTCAATATCTAATGACCTTCTTAGTCAAAGCAATATTAGCCCCGTACTCTTTAGTGAATGTATTATTCAAAATTGGTCAAGTAATAAAGTTCAATATCTAATGACCTTCTTGGTCAAAGCAATATTAGCCCCGTGTCTTTTTGTCAAGCCTGTATCTCGTGCCTCCCCACAACAGGATACTTTCAGAGTTAGGTATTGTAAGAATTAGAGGTGTGTGGAGTGGTAACTTTAACATGGCCACTTTGGAAGCACTGGCAAACAACAGTTCTTGGGTCTCCCTGGTGCTCCCATTTGAACATAAACTCAGCTCCACTCTTTCTGTTTGTGTCTTAATCTTTCTGCTCTTACTGGCTTTTCTCATAATGGTTTCATACATCTTTTTTCAACTCTACAGCTTCCCCTTGCTCATGACTTCCTTTAACTTGTAGATCATCATGATCCTCCTAAGACTCTTCTTTATTTTAAATTGTGCTGCATGGGGCACAATTGTGGCATTTACAAAACTTCTAAGACTCTTTATATTTCTACCTTTTGTTACCACAGCTGGGTACCTGACTTTCCACATTTCTCATTTTAAATTCAAGTTTGTGAATATAATTGGAACATCCGTACATTGTTTGGGCAGAGTTGTTTTTTTTTTAAAGTTAATATATGAACTATTCATAGGCTCATTTTTAACCTATGGGCTGGCTTGCAGAGTGAGACCAATGTTAGGGCTGCCACTTTTGAGGGCCTTGGACTGACTTCTTGTCCCAGTGCAATCTCAGCAACCTTAGCAACCTCAGTTATCTTTTAAGATGGACACCTTTGCTCAGAACCTGCTAATGATTTCCCATGTTGTCCATAGTTAAAGTTCTTGGTCTGTGAGGCTTTATATAGTCTTGCTTCAACTTCCCTTCCTCGCTTTCCTCTCCCTTCTGTCTCCTCTTCTCTCCCTCTCTCTGCCATTGTAACTGTCTTACGCTTTTAGAACATGCCAAACATGTCTTTAGAGCCTTTCTATAGACTTGCCATTTTCTCTGCCTGGAATGCTCTCTGCCTGGCTCACTCGATTCTTCAGCTTTCTTTAAAAAGAGAGTTACCGCTTTTTTTTTTTTTTAAAACAACACCTTCCATTTCTACTCCACTGCTTCCTCCCTCCTCCTCCATTTGGCTTCAGAACACATCACCCTCTGATATATCTTATGTATTGTCTTCTCCCCACATTAGTATGTAAGCTCAATGAGAGTAGGGAATTTTGTCTGCTGCTGTGAATGGTTCCTGGCACAAAGAAGTCAAATATTTGTTACGGATTTGTTGATTTATCAAAATTTGATTAAATATACTTAAGTAATTCAAAGTGGAGCAGAGAACTATTGCCACATAATAATGTCTTTCTAGGTTTCTTCCTGACTTGCTTGACATGGCAGAGGTCATATTTCCTGTCTATAGCTGGGGTAGCATTTAAACAAATCTTCAGAATCTGATCCAAGAAAACAATGTTTACAGTGTCAAAGGCTGAGACCATTATTCAATATCTGGTATGAAAATAAAGTGCTAGATATTTGCTTATCTAAGTACAAGAAAGCTCTGCTCGTAAAACAGTCCTCTTGAGCAAAGCTAAATGCTGATCTATAGTTTTAGAAAAGACGTTTTGCCTTGTGTGGGTTAAGAGGCAGAGGTGGGTCGATGCCAGTCATGGATGCCTGTTTTGGTGTTGGTTGCAGAGGCGGGAACAGGCTAGCACCAGCCTTCGAAGCCAGCAGCTGACTCTAACTCTGATTAGCTGACTTTTAAAGCCTGAGCTTGTCTCTTATTGGCTGACTTTCCAAAAAGCACATTCACTGAAGTGAATTGCTTCTAATCTATTAGAGGTGTTTGCTTTTTTCCATGGCTACAGAACTGTCATTAATTGACTAGGCAAGTTTAAAGGTGGTTCTGGTGGTTGTTACTGTGTCTGAGAGTTGGGTACAGGAGTTACATTTCTACCTGAGAGAGATCTGTCTTGTCAAAACTCAACATTAATACCACCCTATTAAGTAGATAACTTTATTACTACTGTTATTACTATATTTTTGACCATATGTCCACAGAGGACAACTCTATAAAGTGAGCACCCACTTACGTCATGTCTGAATAAGAGAGAAATCCATATAGTGGTAACTAGGTAGATGGTTGCTGCATTACAAAACCAGAGGGTTGACTAAGTGAGCAAGGTAAAGAGATGAAACTCAAAGATTTTCAGAAATACCATAGATACAGGGAAGGAAATGAGCCCTTACTTCCCTGTAAGTGGGGAAGGCGCCAAGGGCCCTAAGCTTGCTCAGTATCTCCACTGTTTGTGCCAGTCCTGTGGCATTTGTACCTTCTTATGTAAAGTGAAGGGGATGCATGTAATAAGCACCCTGAAGGTCAGGACCCCTAAAGAGCCTACACAATGCTTTGCATATAGAGATTACTTAGGAAACGTTTGCTAATATAAATGGAGTTTTCTTGTGTTGCCTTTGCTTGAAGTGTTGTGGCACATAAAGCCACATATAGTGAATAGGATATAGCTATTCCTCATGATTAAAGTGATAAAGTACTTGGTATTAATCATTGTGTTTCATGTAAATTCCTTTTAGATCCTGAGGAAACCCCAAACTTGGCATTTTTGAAACAGCCTTCTTCCTTAGTCAGAGTTATGGGTCAGAATGCGGTGTTGCCATGTGTTGCTTCAGGATTTCCTGCTCCAGCCATCAGATGGTTGAAAAATGAGGAGGTGCTTGACACAGAAAGGTAAATCTTGTCTGCCTAAAAGCCTTTTCAGCCTTAGTATGACACTTAGCCTAATCCTATTTGGGAACTCTTGATTAGTAAAAAATGATTTCTTTATTTAAACACATTACAATGCTCAGATGTCATCATTAAAATATGTGTATATGCTGTAAATGATTAGGATATTTAAAGAAAAAAGGAATAATTATTCCATTGATTTTTTTTTTTTAAATTAATACTAGGGTTTGAACTCAGAGCCTTGTGCTTAAGCTTCTCCTCCAGTCCTTTTGGCTTAGGTTATTTTTCAAATAGGGTTTTTCTTTTTGTCTGGATCAGCCTAAGACCATGATCCTCCTATCTGTGTAACTGGGACTCCTGTGTAACTGAGGCCTCAGGTACAAACACCATGCCTAGCTTGTTTGTTGAGATGGGGTGGGGGGGAGTCTCACTAATTTTTGCCTAGGTTGGCCTTGAACTGCCATCTTCCCAGTCTTCACCTCTGAGCAACTGGGATTATAGACATGAGCTACTGTGCCTGGCATTATTTGTTCTTTCTGAAGCTTCAGTTATACTTAATTTACAGCTTTTGGCTCTCCCTCCTTAAATTGTTGCAAGAGCTCCCAGTCCTGACAGCATGAGTCTTCTCTCTCACTCTTGCATGCATTTTCATAGTTTTTTTCCTTTGTTCAAACAGGATAAACAAATGTATTCCTTATCCTTTTGTTTTGCCTTTTAAAGTCATACCAGCCTTCTGCTATGTTCACAAGTTCTGTGTCTTTCACAAAAGCCTTGTGTGTTAACACCACCCATCCAGTCATGTGTTCCTTCCCCCTCGTTTCTCTCTTACTTTTTTCACTCATAAGAGAACTGTGGTGGTAGTGGTAGTGCATTGTTGGTGTTTACTGGTACCCCTGGCCTTCATCTAGTTGGTCCCAAAAGGGCTTCCAAGCCCTACAATGTCTGTAGCTATTGCCAGATGTCCATGGGGGACAAAATCACCCCCAGCTAAGGACCACTTTTCTAGAGCAGTATCATCCAATGAAAATAATGCCTGCCACATATGTAAGTTGAAATTTCTGGTAGCCATAGTAAAAGAAAAGTATGCACTACTAAATATTACATTACTATTTCATGTGATGTCCTGCTTAGAGTGAAATACAGTTCTATCAGAAGAATAAAGTTGTGTTTAGTGTTTTTGTTTGTGCATTAAAATTAAATAAGTTTTGAGGATCAAGCAGGAGGCTTTGGAGACTGAGTAGACCTTTCTGCCCATACTACTTTAGTCTCCTGAATATCAGGTCATAGGGTAGAAAAGTCCAAGGAGCACTTCTTTGGTGTCCCTGTCTTAGAAAGATTCAGGGCGTGTCATTGTTGGTGGTATTCACCTTGGTCTTTCCAGACCCTCACAGAATGAGGGGTAAACGAGGATTTTGGTTGGATCAATGAGTGTAATGTGAGACAACATAAGCAGTAAATGGAGCCCTGGAGTGCTTCAGGTTGGATATAGGTAACCACTCATAACATCTTTATTTTTGCCAGATCCTTAGTGCATAAGGGGAAACTTCTGTTGATGTATTTTTCCCTGTTCCTTTCACTAAAAAACAACTGAAAACCCCGGACTTTATATATAAAACAAACATAAGAACACTAAAGGACTGGGTATGGTGGTGCACCCCTGTTGCCCCAGCTACTCAGGAGGCTGAGATCAGGAGGATCATGGTTCACCAAAAAGTTAGTGAGACTCTATCTCCACAAATAAGACAGGTATAGTGGCATAAACCTGTAATCCCAGCTACAAAGGAGCTGTAGATAGGAGGATTGAAGTCCAAAGCTGGTTCTAGACAAAAAGTATAAGACTTTATCTGAAAAATAGTTAAAGCATAAAAGGGCTTGGGGACCTAGCTCAAGTGGTAGAGCACCTGCCTAGCAAGTGTGAGGCCCTGAGTTCAAGTTCCAGTACCTCCAAAAAGACAAGATGACTGTGAAAGGTGGAAAGAGTAAGACTGATTGGGCAGGGGCCTTGAGACCCAAGGAACAATATGATGATTAGTTTCCTGGGTTTTGTTTTTGCCTCATATGTCCCAGAGTTGGAGGTAAAGAAGCCAGAAACTTTAGAAACACCAACAGGCACATACAAAAAAGTCTGAATAAAAACATATGCTCTTTAGCCAAAGGTCCAGGAAAGGGGCAGCCTCATAAGAAAACCTGTTAGACTAAAATAACTCTTACTCATCCACACACCACAGAAGGGACTGTGGCCCCACTCTCACTACACCTGCAAAGGCCAAGTGGGGAGCCAAGGCTTCTGCCCTGACCTCCCTTTTGGATGGTATCAGAGGCTGGTAGGGAGCTAAGATTTTCTTGCTAGGCAGTAATGAGGGTCTATTCCCTTTGTCAATGGAGAACACCTGGGGAGCCTTGGTCTTCCGTCCTGCTGCCAGAATCAACCTTAGCCTTTCCACTGGGGTAGTATCAAAGGAGGCCTATCAAAAACAATTAGGACTTTACTAATACGCTATAGCAAGGCTCTCCCTTTAGTGTGTGTGAACACCATGTGGGGACTGTTCCCAAGATGCTCTTACCAGTCCTGTTCACCTAGCTGGGGAAATATCAGTAGGGGCCTAGTGGGGAGCCAGAACTCCCAACCCCACTAAATAGTAATGAGGAACTTCCCCATCATTTTAGTTGTCAGTGGATATTGGGGAACACACACCTGGCAGTAGTGAGGCAGCACCCTTTCCCACTGTGCTACAGTAGTGTCATAAAAAAATAAGCTGAAATAGAAGGTCTAAATAAGATTCATCTTTCAGGTGAAAATCACTCATGATACCAAGAACCAGGAAAATCCCAACTTAAATGAGAAGAGACAGTAGATGTGAACAGATAAAGATTTTAGAATTGTTTGAAAGATTATGAAGCAGTCATGGTAGAATTGCTTCAGTGAGCAATTTATAATTTGTAACACACTCAAAACAAATGGAAAAAACAAAAAAAAAATCTCAGCAAAAAATAGAAGGCATTTTTGGCATCCAGTGGGGGTCTTGGAATGCAGCCCCTTGTGTCAGTGGAGAGCCCATGGGAGCCTTGACCTTCCCTCCATCCTGGAGGAAGAAGCACTCCTCGGAAAGTAGAATACTTAGAGTAATTGGATGGAAATGTTCCCACTAGACAGTGGCCAAAGTAAAAACTGTTGGGGCTATGGTGGAACTCAATAGAGTGCTTGCTTGGCATGTGCACAGCCCTGGGTTTGACCCTCAGCACCACAGAAAAACAGTCTCAGTCAGTGGTTCAATAGCAGACTGAGTGAGACAAGGATAGAATGAACTGTAGAAAAAAGAAGGCATAAGTGAACAGTATCAGGACTGAAAACGGGAGGAGGTCACTGCAGACCTTGCAGGCATCAAAAACCTAGTAAAGGAGTGCTTGCAGCAATTATATGTATGCACATAAACTTTACAACCTGAAATAGACCACTTCTCAAAACAAAACAACTCCCCAACATAACAACCACATCTACCTAAATATGAAATAGATAATTTGAATAGCCCTTTCAGTCATTAAGGAGATTGAATTTGTAATTTCAAAACTCTTGAAAATGAAATCTCCAGGTCCAGATGGCTTTACAGGAGAATCCTACCAATGTTTAAAAAAGAATTGACTTCAGTTCTTTACAGTCTGTCTGGAAAATAGAAGACAAAAAAGTTGAAACTAGTATTATCCTAGTACCAAAACCAAAGACTAGAAAGAAAGAGAGATGTGGTGGTGGGGAAGGGAGGGAGAGAAAGAGAAAGAAGACTCTTGTATAGAAAGATATAAAAGTCCTTCATGAAATACTAGCATAGAATTCAACAGTATATAAAAAGAATTACATACCATGACCGACTGGAATTTATTCCAGGGATGAAATATTAAAATCCATCAATGTAACTCCCCACATTAATAGGCTAGTAGAAACACCCTACCTGTTAGTCAGTGGAGAAAGAGCATCTGGCAGAATTGAAACATTCATGTGTGATATTTTTAAAAACTCAAAAACGTTACTTAATTCAGAACATTTTGAAAAATCCTACATCTCACATTAAACTTGACAATGAAAAACTTTCCCCCTAAGTTCAGGAACAAGTTAAGGAAGTTCACTATTACAGTGCTGGAAGTTCCAACCAGTTCAGTAATGCAAGAAAAAGAAGTGGTTTAGATCAGAAAGAAAAAAAATAAAACAGTCCTTATTTACAGATAGCACGTTTTTCTACATAGAAAATCCCAAGATACAGGGGAAAAAAAAACCCTTAAAACTAATAATTGAGTTGACCAAGCTAAGCATAAAGATTGTTTTTCAAACTGGGCACTGATGGTTCATACTTGTAGTTCTATCTATTCAGGAGGATAGTAGTTCAAAGCCAGCCAGCCAAATAGTTCACAAGAGTCTATCTCGAAAAACCCACCACAAAAAAAAAAAGGCTGGCGGAGTGATGCAAGTAGTAGAGCACCTACCTAACAAGCATGAGGCCCTGAGTTAAACCCCAGTACCCCTCCCCCCCAAAATTGATTTTCTATATACTAGTGAACATGTGAACCCTGAAATTACGGATGTAATTTACAATCACTCACAAGAAATGAAACATTTAGGGGTAAATCTAACCAAAGTCTAACAGTAGGCACCCTGCTAGAAGTGCAAAATGCTTGTGAAAGACCAAAGATTAAATAACTACAGAGACATACTGTGTTTATGGATTGGAAATCTCAGCATAGAGATGATGTCAGTTTTCTTCAAAGTGAGACAAGTTAACTCAATTTCTGTCAGGTTAAGATTTTTTGTAGATGTTGGCAAATTATCCATATGCCTATATGGAAAGGCAAAGAACTGAAAATAGTTAAAACAAAACTTAAAAAGTGAGAAAATGAGTCTGCCTGGTCTGAAGACTTACTGTGGTGCTACAGTCATCAAGATATGCAGTACTGATAGAGGAATTGGCACACAGATCAGTGCATCAGGATAGAGAGCCCAGGCCCAGACCCACGCA